GCTCCTGGATGGATTTACCTCCTTCGCTCTTTGTTCTAAAGCATTGGTTCATCGTTTCAACCTGCTGCCCTTCAAGCACCTGAGTCCAGATCTGTCAGACTACCTTCTTTCTGCGCCTCTAGACTCAGGCTGCCCAGCACTGTGGGAAGTGCGGCCTAACCTGTCAGCTTGGCTCCTCCTCTTCACTACACAGAGTTGTTTTTCAAAAAGCAAATCTCTGCTTAGAATCCTCTCTTGGCCCCCCCCTGTCTTTACAGTGAAGAGCAATTTCTTTTGTCACTGCATTTATTACTGATCTGCAGTTTCATCTGGGAAGCCTGTTTCCCTGGCTTTTGCACCTGCTCCTTTGCTAGCACAGCTCTCTGGTGTAATGTCCTCAGTAACCCATGTGGCCTAACATATCTCACATGGCAGTCCCTTAGTAATCTCCCCGCCCTTCACATACATGCTTTTCTGCTCTGATGGCCTACTAAGGTCCCTCATTTAAGGCCCTGTCCTTTGCCTTAAACATAGGGACCTGTTTTCAGTTCCCCACAGATACCATATTCCCGCATTCTTCCAGATTTTGCTATTCCCTCCTATAGTGCAGTATGCCTTCTGTTCAAAAGCTCCTTGATAGTTGCCATTTACTGTGTGCCAAGCAGAGTGCTTTACGTGCCTTTTTTCATTTAATCCTCACATCAACCTGGTTGGATAAATGTATTTCTCTTTACATTAGAGATAAGGACACCAAAGCCTAGAAGAGGCCTCGTAATTTGTGCAAAGCACACTTTTACTAAGAGCAACCTAGAATTCAGCCCATTACTCTACAAATTATGCTATGCTGCCTTCTCTTAGGAAAAGGAGTATATTTTATTTATTTTTGTATATTTATTACCAAGCACAAGGCATAGTAAATATTTGTTGAGAATGAAGTGAGGTTTGATCTAGTCTTAAAGAATGAGAATGTGCCAGACAGGAGAAATCATGGGCAAATACAGAAAAAGAGAGCAGTCACCAGGCCAGCATGGGTCTCAAAGTTACGCTTTGCTGAGAGCAGCATTCGGGCCTCTTTCTAGCCATAACTTATCCAAGTTTTCTTGACACTTCTCTGTCTGCCGCTGCTCCAGTCTTCTCTTGCCGTTTGCATAAAACTCCTCTAGGTGTCAGCTCATTCTTCTGTTATCCTCTCTTGAATCCAGTCTACTCAGGCTTTAGTTCCACTATTGCACGAGAATGGCTATTACTGAGGTCACTAGTGACTTCTCTGTTGCTAAATCCAGTGGACATTTCTCAGTTGTCATCTTAATCTGTCTACATTATTTGTCACATGTGACTCCAGTCTTACTTCTTTTCAGGATGCCTTACTATCTTGGTTTTCCTCCTACCTCAGATGATAGAGTGCCCCAGGTTCAGCCCTCATAGTTTTTCAGTTCACACTCACTCCCTTACTGATCCAATCCAACCTTCTGTCTTTAAATACCATCTACATGCTGATGATTCCTCAGTCTATATCTCTAATCCAGATCTCTCTCCCTGAACTCCAGGCTCTTACAGCTAACTTCCTACCAACATCTCCACTAGGAAGTCTAGTAGACCTCCCAAATTTAATATATTCGAACTTAAACTCTTAACCCTCCCCTAAAAAGCTGCTTCTCCTATGCTGTTTCCCGTTTCAGTTTATGGTAACTCCAGCTTTCTGTTTCCTAAAGCTAGAACCTCAGATTCTTACTCTGCATTAGCCTGTCAGGAAATCCTTCAGAACGCATCCAGATCTATCCACTTCACTGTTACTCCCCTGCTCACTCACCTGAATTACTACAGTAACACCCTAACTGTGTAACACTCCTCAGCTGTGATGTCCTTCCACCTGTTCTCAACACAGGAGCCAGAGTGGCCCTTTTAACATGTTATAATACTGTGCAAACCCCTGTAGTGGTTCCCCACTTCACTCAGAATAAAAACTAAAGTTGTAAAAGCCTGCAAGACCAATCTGGCCCCTCTGTTATCTGTATGATCTTCTGCCCTACTACTCCTCTTCCTGTGCATGGTGGTTTGACCACACCAACTTTTTTGCAATTGAGATATGCACTGCTCTTGCTCTTCTTCCTGGAAAGCTCTTTTCCCAGAGGGCACATGGCTGATTTCCTAACTTCCTTTAAATCTTTGCTTAAATGACACCATCTCAGTGAAGTCTGCCCTAACCACCCTACTCAAAATTATAACCCATATGTCTTGGCTGTCTTACCCTCCTGGATTTTCCTCCCAGACCACTTAATCACCTTTTATTCAGTTAACATATCTATTTTGTTTACTTTTCATAAACTGTTCTCTCCATGCTAAAAATGAGTTCCATAAGAGCAGGGATTTGTGTCTGTTTTCTTCATAATACCTGCCTGAAGCAATGCCTAGCATAAGTAATTAGTAAATAATTACTGAACTGAGTGAGATGAAAGTAATCTTAGGTATTTACACCTGAAAATCTTTGGGAAATCTTAAGGTTCATTTAAGTAGATTTTCCAGCCATGAAAAAAGATGTGAGCCCCAAACATAAAGAAGATACAATTGACCAGGAAGATGAAACAGCTGTAAGTCTACACGTACTGTTAGCATGCTCCTTAATGTCACTTAGTATTAAATTATGTTTGGTTCCAGCAATTGATACAGGACTGGATTTTAGATTGCCTTCCCTCTCATACAGCTAACAAGGCTTTAATCAGGACATTAAGGAGCTCTAAATAGTCCTTGCTTTTAAATCTGCATATCAGGAGGGGGCTGGGAGCACGAGGGGGAGGATGTCATGTCCCAGTGATTAATGATCTCGAGGAAGCTGAAAAGGGGAGAGTAATATACACAGTATTTCTACCCCCTGGAGTAGGAATGCAAACACTATTGTGTGGATCTGTGCATAGTCACTGACTTCCTGGTAGCTGGAGAATTTCATACACTCTTCCACCACAAATAAAACTGTCAGAGAAGTGACAGAGCTCAAAAAGCTGGCCTTCCTTACTTAAAAAGAATAGCTCAAACACAGTGAGCCAGAAAATTAATTTTGTAGTTGTTTGGGAACCCAGTTGTTTAATAAGAAATGAGAAAATGGGAACTTTTCTTGAAAAGCCTAAAACCTCCAAATATTTGTTGAATCAGACTCTACATTTGGTTTCTTAAATTTACCGAATTCCTGGAACCTGCTTATTTTAAATGAGTTTAAAGGGAAACGTTCCTTTGTAATGAAATGCATCACCTTAAACTTTTCAGTGTGGTCTCTACAGTAGATTGAGCGAATTATACTGTTGATGGACTCTGGAGCCTATTGCCTTATGTGTCAAAAAAAATCTTAACATTTCAGAATGGCTTGTACAGTTTTAGAAAGTAATTCTAAAGTATAGTTCTTTTGTTTATTTTAATTATAGAGAATGTATGATATTTAATAACAGTTTCCAAATGTTTAAGTCAGAAGCGAAACATTTTTAACTATAGTTAAGGAACTCCAGATGTTTGCAAAAAAAATTTTTTTTAAAGTTTTTGGGAAAAGCATTTTATTTCACCCACTTGTGATTATTTACAAATAACCAAAATTAGAGACTTATGTTTAACAGTAGTAATAGCAGCAGCAGTTGTAGATTTTTAGTGGGGACACCAAATAACTTGTATTTTACTGGGAACCACTCATTCATAGGACTTGTTAAATGATTTTTGTTCTTGGTTCAGATTTCTTTGACACCTTTACATTACCACTCATTGCTCTGTATTGTCTAGTTTTTAAAGTTTGATTTTTTATGAATTTTTCCGTATATAAAAAGAAAGAAAAATACTCATTTTGGGGGAAATGGAGCCACACTTCAGGGTCAAGGAGAGAAAAAAAGGACTGAACTTATATTTTATTTCCATTTTGTTGTTTATTTTGTTTTATTCTTGAGAGTGTCACTATAGTCTAAATTAAAAGGAACTACTGTGGTCTAAATTAAGACAGCATCAGGTAGATTCAGCTCTGAATTTGGTTTCTAAGTGGTTAGACTTTTAAATTGCATTTGTAACAGTTTATTTTTAGTCAGGATGTAGTTATTTTTAGATCTGCTTCTGTCACTAGGAAATGTAATGCCTGTCTTTCCATTGTTCATCAGGAAGTGCTCAAGCACAGGCTTGTAAGATCCAGTTAGGACAGAACACCAATTCTCCTTTTAGATGAAAGAACATGAAATCATGCATGAAGGAAAATATGTTCATTGAGAACATGTCTAATTTTTTAAATCATTAGTGTCATTTGAATCTCATACACTGAGCTACAGTGCAGGATTTTTAGGGAATACCAAAACTATAAGGCTCGAGTTCCCCCTGCTGGTGTGCATTCCAGGCTGCGTATTCGTTAACATGCAGCAGAAAGGGCTGTGGGATAGAGATCGAAAATTGCTGCATTGGCCTTTTTTAAAGAGAACTGGTGATGACAGAGCAAGAAAAAGCACCATTACCCATTTTCTGCAAATGTCTTACAAAAAACAGGATGATCTGAAAATTGTATTTTTTACATCTAGAAAGAACAAAACCTAATCTTACAGTATTTGGCTTTTAATGTTGTTACCTTTGTGATAAGCTGCTTATATACAGTGCTTTTCAAATGCTTTATGTTGTACTCTAAGAAATAATAAAACACCAGTGGATCCACAAAAGGATTTAAAACCCCAAGGAAAAAATGCAAAGCTAGCACTGTGTTGTAATAAAATTAAAAGAGCTGCGTTAAAGCTTACTAATTCCTATTTTAGCATTTCAGAAAGTGACATGACATCATGTGATTGTGTGTGTCCATTTAACATCTGTTCTTTCTAATTTGTCTTATGTGTTTTTGAAATAGTTCTCTTTATTTTCCATCTCTTAGTCAGTAAATGCCAAGTAATATTAAAGACTCATTTTGAAAAAGAAAAATTTTAATTGACTCCTAAAAGTCACTTCTGAACTTATTATGTTTGCATTTTAAAGGACTATTCAACCAAATTAAAATATTGTATTTTTAAATTGCTTTTCAGCAATGCAGTCAACCTTTTAAGCAATGTTCCAGTCTCTTGTTTGGATGTTCTCATTTGTCCATTAACCCATGAAGAAACAGCCCAAGAGGCAACGACTCTAGATGAACTGCCCAGTGATAAAACAGCTGAGAAAGAAACAGTTTTGAAAAACAATACCATGGTATACAATGGTATGAATATGGAGGCCATTCATGTTTTACTCAGTTTTATGGAGAAGAGAATAGACAAGGTAAGGCTGATAAAACTGAGGCCTTGGGAAAATGCTCATAAAGAATGTAAAAGTGCCATACATACATCACAGAACAGGATTTTTAAATCTAAGCCTTTTAAAATAGTTGACATCTTGTATAATTATAATTATTTGTATTCTGGGAAGCACTTTATTATAATACATGATAAATTGCTGAAACCAAGTGAACTTATTTGTTTAAAACTGAAAATTGTGTTGCTGCTATACCAAAATTATGACTAGTGCCTGAAAACAAAGGAAAAATTACTTTTCTATGTATGTATTTTGTAAATCCTAGAAATAAAAATCACACCCTCCCAAAAAATTTAATCATAAATGCTTTCCGTAATATCTAAAAGACATCTTTAAAAGAAAAATCACCAACTTTCCATTAGTTGTGAGTTGTTTATTTTCTCTCATCTGTCACTTGCTTTGTCAGGTAGCTATACTGAAAGGCAACATTTGGGTGGGTCATCAAAACCTTTGCCTATTTTTAAGCCCACTGGTTAAGCCAGTGAGGACCTTACAAAAAGTAGCAAAATTCAGGAAGGATAAAAGTAAGCCTAGTAAACATGAAGATAACTGATGAAATGAAAATAGTTTTAGGAAAATAACTCTTTTAAAGAGCTTTTAATGCTTGGGTAACATAAAATGTTCCCCCCTGAAAAAGGAGTATTAACATACTCAGTTATATGAAGGAAAGTAATACTGTTAGAAACTAAACTAATATAGCATGTATGGTTTTCTTTATAGGGAAGCAGCTATAGAGAGGGCCTAACTCCAGTTCTCAGCTTATTAACAGAATGTTCCCGGGCCCATCGAAACATCAGAAAATATCTCAAAGATCAGGTAACCGTTTAATGCATATTACACCTTAAAAGTTAATCTTCCATGTTTTTTTTAAAGCATAGAATTAATGAGTCAAATTCTTTCATAATGTTTTTTTCCCAGAAAGTCAGAAACTCAGAAAAGTTTGTTTTGTTTTAATCTTTGAAATCTTCCTCATCCAGAAATAAGTGATCCTGTGTATTTTTTGTCATTTATTCAACAAATATTTATTGAAATCTATATGCCGTGCTCTAAGCATTGTTCTAAGCATTGAAATACAGGTGAAGTATTGGCCTTATAGAGTTTACCTTCTAGTGGGGGGACAAAAAGTAAACAAATATATAATGGCAAGTAGTGGTAAGTGTTCTGAAGATAGGATGTGTACAGCAGGGAAGGGGAAACTTAGGGGAGGAATAAGGGAGGGCCTCCCTGAGGAAAGGACATCTGGGTAAGAAAAGGATCCCTGAGAATATTCTGGAAGAGGAATGTGCCAGAGAGAAGAAGTTCAAAGCCCCTGAGAGGAGAGGATGCTTTGGGATGCTTAAGAAAAAGCAAGAGGCTAGATAACAGTGTGCAAAGGGAGAGTGGTGCATGAAGTGAGAGAGGCAAGCAGGAACTAAATAACACAAGATTGTATAGGACTTTTCTTTTTCCCCCCGGGTTTTTTTCCCCTAAAAGGACTTTTAGTTCTTTTTAAGTGAAATGGGAAAGCATTGGACCATTTGGAGTAAGGGAGTAAGGTGACTTCATTATATTTACAGATAACTGACTGCTGTATGTGGGATAGACTAGAGAAGTAGGTAGACGTGAGGAGACCAGCTCAGAGGGAACTGATGAATATTTGAAGTAGGCTGGTGGAGTGGGAGGTCATGGTAAGAAGTCATCATGCCATCACCGCGTTTGTACATCTTTGTCTGTCCGTCCATCACAGTGGTTGGATTGACCCTGCTTCCTCCTGTGGCCAGCCTCTGTGCTTTCATCCCGGGTCCCTCTCCCTCTCACCTTCCCAAGAACTGCTCCTGCATTCGCTCCTTCTCTTTCTTCTTACATTAATATTTTTTAATGTACTCAATCATTTCTGTCTGCACCTAAACACATCTTCCATTATACAAGAAAAAGAAAAAAAACCCTCTTAACCCCACTTCTCAGGCTGCCTCCCCATTTCTCTGCTCTTCTTTACGCAGCGTTCCTCAGAGTTTTCTATACTCACCCTGTCGTCTTTTTACTCACCTTGATCTCGTTCAGCAGTCATGGTTTTAAAAACCCTCTAAATACTGATGACTCTCAGATTTCTGTCTCCAACCCTAACCTATCCCCTAAGCTCCAGACTTAAATACCGGACTGCCTACTCATCTCCTCTCATAGGATGGGTAGTTAGTACCTTAAGTTTAACATATCCCAAACTAATGTCTTGATTTCCTTTCCCCTCCACCATGTTTCTTCTTTTTCTTTACACATTCCAGTACATGGTACCACTCTTAACTTCCTGGTTCATTTATTGCCATATAGACTTTCTCCTAATAAATGAACCAGGTTAATTTTCCCCCTCTGTTTATAGTCAAGACTTAGTAAGCACTGTACTTTGTGTAGAGCACATTAATAGATATTGCTGATGAGGAGAGATTAGAAAGTAGGGAGTCTGTCTTTGAGGAATTTACAGTCTATTGGAGGAAGAGAGGGGTATCATGAAAGCATAAATAATCATTTAAGCAAAATAAACTAGTTACTTAATGAAGTAAGGTCATTTCCAAGTTGAGACGTTCTACCATGTCTATGTTAAGACATTCTACCATGACAGGGAGGACTTGAAGAAGAATAAATGAAAATGCTTTAAGTTTCGTACATTTTAGCTTTTTCACATAGGAGATCCAGGTACAACTAAACTTTAGATTTTGCTATCTCTAACCAAGACAGCCAAAAAAATCTATTTGTTAAACAGCTTCTTTATATGAAGGCCTTGGGACACACATGTAGATACAAAAGATTATGAGACCCACTCCTTGTTCTCAAAGAAACACTACAGTTTACGTAAAAAGATGAACCATGACAAGTTAAAGATAACTAAAGATACAAGGCACAATACAAAAATCCACTTTCATTCTGAGGAGGGTGGTAGTCAAGAAAGGCAGAACTTAAAGTAACAGATGATTAGCTTTGATAATAGTGTAAATGGAGCCATGCCTAATTAATTGTTATGCCCTATAGTTAATACCTGATTAAATCCTACTCATGCACACCCAAAGGAAATTGGTCTCAAGCATTCTGTGTTTGGGCAGGTAGAAAGACCACAGCAGATGGTAGAAATCACTGACCCAGGCTGGGTTAGTCGGGAGACGCTTATAGAAATGAGAATGCTGTGGGTTTGACAGAAAGGCTGCGCAAGATTTGTCCAAAAAAAGAAAAATTGTTGGAGGGTAGTATTTGGAAGCTAATAGAAAGGGTCCATATACCTATGCAGTGTGTCTGGGAGTGATAAAAACAACAAAATTTCACTTAAAAAACTTGCTTTAAGGAGCCCAAAATATAGCTAACAATTTTTGTATGATAACCTTGGTTAATAGATTCTGTACTCTGGAACTATAGGCACACACTATGTGAAGTCACTGGTTACATATCTCATTCTTCTCCTAATAGGAGGTAAACTCAGTATGGTTGGCTGAATCAAATAGTAAGAATTTATTGTGCAATTACTTTGTGGCTATAGAGCACAAAGAGTACTGTGTTGTACCCTTCCAGAGATGTTAAAATAAGGATTCTGGAAGCCCTTTAAGTAATTACTCAATTTTCTGAGACTTAGTTTCCATTTTTCTTCACAGTTATATTTCCATTGCCTCATGTACCTCCTGATACATGGTAGGCACTTAATACAGAAAGTGAGGGAAGGAAGAAAATAAGTTGAATGGATTGAATAAAATAATATACACATGAAGGGTCCTGCACAGTAAATTATTACTTGACTTTGTGTCTGTCCTCATTTGTTAACATAGTGCCTAAAGTTATTTGAATTAATTTATTTTTTCTTCAATCAGGAAATATTGCATAAAATATGCCAGGCACTGAGAACAGTAAGCAAAACAGGAAGAAATTTCTGCTCTCATGCCCACTTACTCTTGTGGGAAAAGACAGGCAGTAAAGAAATATATACGGTGTCAGGTGGTGATAAATGCTATGAGGAAAATTAAAGGGAGGGGTTAAAAAGATTGCTAAAGGTTAGTTAGGTAGGTGGTCAAGAAACATCTTCCTGTAAGTGACATTTGAACAGAGATCTGAGGAAGTGGGGGAATAAACCATGATGCAGATTTCTAGAAAAAGTTTCTGGACAGAGGGAGGAGCCAATACAAAGACCACGAGCAGGAAAGTGCTTGGTGTGTTTAAGGACTTCCGTGGAGGTTTGTGTGGCTGTAGCAGTGTAAGCAAGTAGTAGAAAAAAAATCAGGAAAGGAACGGGAAGCTGGATTACGTGAAACCTAAAGGAGTTGTAAGGACCTTGTCTTTTACTAGGAGTAAGGCGACAAGCCATGGGAACTGGAGGACTTTGAGAAGAAGAGTGACATATTCTGACTTTCAAAGAATCCTGGTTGCTATGTAGAGAATAAATCATAGAAGGACCAGGATAGAAGCAGGGACACTTAGGAGGCTGTGGCAATAGTCCAGGCAAGAAGTATTGATAGCTCAGATTTGATAATACTAGACAAGGGAGTGAGAAGTGGTTGGATTGTGGATATATTTGAAGGTAGGGCTGAAATAATTTGCTGATGGATTTGATGTGGGTGTGAAAGAGAGGAGTCAAGGATATTCCCAAGGTTTTTGTACTAAACAGTTGGAAGAACGGACTTGCTAGTGAGATAGAAAACTATAGAAGGAACAGCTTTGCCGGTAGCATAAAGAGATGTTTAGGACTTGCAAAATTTGAGAGGCCTATAAAAGTCTGGAGGACTCTATTATAGCAACTAGCACATAGGAAGTTATAATTATGAACCATTTTTATTATAAATTTAAACAACTAGAAAACATTGAGTACAGATTTTTTTTATAAATAGAAAATGCTGCAGGAATTAAAAGAAGGGAAAAATCAATATGAGTTAGGGCAATAATGAAGCTTCCATGGAAGAAAGAGAAACTTGACCCAGACTTTAAAATGAATTTTGATACAGGCAAGCAGAGGCATTTCAGGTGCTGTGATGAGTAAAACTCAGAAATGGATTTGAATACGTCGTGCTGGTACAGTGAAGAGATGTTTCTCTTCAAACAAAATTTCATTACAGGCATGAACTTGAAGTTTGTTTTTGTTGTTGTCATTGTTTAGTTTTATTTTATTTGGAAACAAGCCTATTTATTTTTAAAATGTTTTTTCTATGCTTACAAAACTGAGCTCAGTAGACATTACAAGACTGACCAGTTTCATGGTGTCATCCTCACTTGCTCTGGCACCCATGATTGATGATGGTTTTTGCATTTGTACCATTAGGTTTTACCACCATTGAGGGATGTGACAAATCGACCTGAAGTTGGCTCAACTGTGAGAAATAAGCTGGTGCGCCTCATGACACATGTTGACCTTGGAGTCAAACAAATTGCTGCTGAATTCCTTTTTGTCCTTTGCAAGGAGAGAGGTATGTTAAACTCTACTTGCCCTCTACTTTTTAACTTTTCTGAGGGAGTTTGAGAAATCTTTCTGATAATAGTAGCCATATAATTCTACTCTTCGCAGAGGTTACTCTCCATCAGCTCTGTTAGAGGCCTAAGGAGATATTAAAAGTAATAATTTAAAAACATTTTCTGTATACTTCTGAATTCATTGAGAAATGCAGATACACTACCAAACACACTCACATTTACACTCTGCCTTCTATATCCTTAAACCAGACTTCTTAATCTTGATGAGTCAGGGCCCAGATCCATTATGAAAAATCTGCTTAACTAATTCAGGTGCTGCAATTTTGATAACCGGACAAAGAAAGGCCTGAGTTAGTTCCCCTTTTTAACTCCTTTTGGAATTAAAGCTATAGGAGCTTTGGCTTCTTCACTGTTATTAGTCAATAAATTGTTATAGAATGTAAGCTATATAATATACTAGATCAGCAATTTTCAACTGGTGTGCCGCGGCACACAAGAATTTTTAAAACATACAATACCTGACCTGACTAGTCAGGGCACTGACTTCTTTTCCCTTAGATTGTCAAATAAAAAAATTACAGCAGCCAACACAGCAATGGCTATCTGGTATGAATGAATCAGATCAGCAAGAAGTGTAGTTTTTGGTGTGCCATAGAATTTTAGTAATTAGTTTATATGTGCCATGAGATGAAAAGATTGAAAATCTCAACTACATAAAATAACTATACTACAATGTAATAAATACTATTTTATAAGTATATATAAAGTGATTGTCTTCTGAGATATATCTGACAATTTTATGTTTCCTAAAATTGTATGGGGTATTTCCTCCACAGAAGGCAGTTCTCCAAACAGGGCACTTTGACTGTTATTCTGATATCCTTACCTGTTTCTTCATCTCCTGGTTCATAAATATACTAGTATAAAAGTCACATCTAAGCAGATTTTATATTCCACTCCTGTATAGTACCTCAGTTTTGTGAGATAGAGAATTTGGAGGTAGAAAACTTCACTTACTTCTCTCAAAATCTTAAGTCAGTGGAAATTTTTTTTTTTTTACCCCAGCTTTATCAAGGTATAATTAAAAATAAAATTGTATATATTTGAAGTATACAACATGATGACTTGATACATAAATACATTGTGAATTTACTACCACAGCCAGGTTAATATATCCACTACCTCACATAGTTAGCGTTTGTGTGTGTGTCTGTCTGTGTGTGTGGTAAGAACAGTTAAGGTTTACTCTCTGAGTACATTTCAAGTGTACATTACAGTCTTAATTATAGTCACCATGCTGTATATTAATTCCCAGAACTTACTCATGTTATAACTGTAGGCTTGTACTCTTTGACCCAGCATCTCCCCATTTCCCATACCCACTACCAACCCCCTGGTAACCACCATTGTACTCTGGTTCTATGAGTTTTTTGTTTGTTTGGTTTTTAAGATTCCACGTATAAGTGAGATCATACGGTATCTGGCTTATTCACTTCACATAATGTTCTCTAGGTTTATCCATTTTGTCACAAATAGCAGGATTTCCTTCTTTTTCAAAGCTGAATAATGTTACATTTTATACATATATATAGTTACCACATCTCCTTTATCCATTCATCTATCAATGGACACTTAGCTCATTCCATATCTTGGCTATTGCATATAATGCTGCAGTAACATGGGAATGCAGATATCTCTTGGGGATACTGATTTCATTTCCTTTGGGAATATCCCCAGTAATTAGATTGCTAGATCATATGATAATTCTATTTTTATTTTTTTGAGAAACCTCCATGCTGTCTTCCATAGTGGCTGCACCAACTTACTTTCCTACCACATCCCTTTTCGCCACATCCTTGCCAACACTCTTGTCTTTTTGATAAAAGCCATCCTAACAGATGTGAGGTGATCTCTCGTTGTGGCTTTGATACGCATTTCCCTGATAGAGATGTTGAGCACCTTTTCATGTGCTATTGGCCATTTCTATGTCTTCCGTGGGAAAATGCCTATTCAGGTCCTTTGCCCCCTGAACAACATGGGGGTTTAGGGGTTCCGACCCTCCACACAGTTGAAAACCCACATATAACTCTTGACTCCCCAAAAACCTAACTACTAATACCTTACTGTTGACAGGAACATAAGCAGTCAATTAGCATATATTTATATATTTTGTATATGTATTATATACTATATTCTCTTTTTTTGCACTTATTTATTTTAAAGTTTCTTTATTTTTATTGTTGAAAATATTATAGATGTCACCTTTTTACCCCCATTGATCCCCTCCACCCCGCATCTACCTCACCCCCAGGCCTTCCCCAAACCAATTTCTGTGTCCAGGGTTATGCTTATAAACATATAAGTTCTTTAATTAATCTCTCCCTACCCACTCCCCCATCACCACCTTCCCTCTGAGATCCCTCAGTCTGTTCCATGCTTCTATGTCTCTGGATCCATTTTGTTTATCAGTTTATTTTGTTTATTACATCCCACATATAAGTGAGATCTTGTGGTACATATATGTACTATATTCCTACAGTAAAGTAAACTAAAGAAAAGAAAATATTAAGAAAATCATGAGGAAGAGAAAATATATTTATAGTACTGTATGTATTGAAAAATATCTGCATATAAATGGACCCATACACACCCACAGTTCAAACCTATGTTGTTCAAGGGCCAACTGTATTCAGTGTTTTGCTATTGAGTTGTATCCATTGACCCAACCATTTCAGTTCCGATTAAGATGGTATATTAGCAACATAATGTGATCAGTATCATAACAATGACCATAGCTGTGTAGAGGTATCATGTCCCGAATGTCCTATGCCATAATCCCATTTAATTTTCATAAGGACACCCTAATATAAATATTATTTTTTCAGTGTCATAAAGGAGGCACCCTGGCATTTGAAAGCCTTTCAGTAACTTGTCCAAGGTTACGTAGTTGCTTAGGGCTGAAGCCCCCATTTGAGTCCTCTCACTCAGTTCTGCCATATTTCCTCTCACGAGAATTATCTTCAACTGTTACAGACTAGCTATTTAACATCTGCTCTTCTCAACAGCTCAATTTTTTCATGACTTTGAAAAAAATTGATAATCGCATGTTGGAATTAGGTGACAGGTATAGTGTCTTGCATATATTCTGCAAATACTGGCTGAATTAAAATGATTTTTCTGAAACCAGAAAGAAATGGGTTTTTTTAAGTATAATTATATATATAGAAACATGCATAAATCTAAACCACATACATATGTATCTATTCATTAAAAAAGCTTTATCAAAATATACACCAAAATATTATCCATTGTTACCTCTAAGTAGTAGGATGACTATTAACATTTTTTTAAATTTTCTGTTCTCTAAATTTTTTCCTACAATGAGTATGCATTTTTTGTTTTACTTTTAAAAAAGTTATTAAATGAGGGAAAATAAAGTTTATTTCCTCTATCATTATATATCTAATTACAGTCACCTTACTAATGACTTAGTGAATTATGTCTTAGCAAATATAGTATATGTATTTATAAAGGAGTTTGTTAATTGTTTTTCATTTGAAATGATTTGCTTTTTTCCCCCTTGGACCCAACATTTGTTTCTATATGGTCCTGACTTTGAGCCCAAAGCCAACCCATATTAGCAAAATTTTATCTTTTTCATTTGACCTTTAACAACTCATATATACTCATCTGCTTTTCCTTCCAATTTGATTTTAAGTTAAGTAGATTTATTCTTCTGAAATAAAAATTTACTCATTTAACAAATATTTTTTGAGCTAGACCTTGGGAATACAGAGGTATGTATGCAAGAAAAATAAGGTCTCTGCCATCCTTCATATTATTTACTTTCTTATCAAGGGTTATAACACAAATGTCTGCAAGTACCAGGCTGGTAATAAAGTAAGTCAAATGGACTGGATGTAAGATGACAAATGAAAACTGACACTTAGCTCACTGTTGGGGAGATAGTGGATTGGGACTGGGGAGCAAGGGGACTGGGGGGGCTGGAAAGAGGACATTGCTGCTGTGTTGGGCTCCAACTTATTATTACCATGAAGAAACTTGTAGCCAGTGTTACCAAATCTTACAGATTTTCCAAGAGATGCCAGGATCTGGATTTTTACATAAAATCTGCCAGTTTTTAAATTCTGTCAACTAATTCTAATTTTAAAATTTTCGAGGGGTGGTGCACAGAGTTTGTATTCCACATTCAACTTAAAAAAGTTATCAGATTTTGGAATTGGGGTTGGGTTTGGAGGCAGACTGTATCAAAATGAAATAAATTTCAAATAACTTATATAAGTGACTGAACTTCCCTTTTAAGGATATTCAAAGCTGTTTGAAAGTGAGGGTACCATGATCAAGGCTCAAAAGTCAGACAACTAAGTAGAGACAACAGGCAGCTGTCAAATTGGGTTAGGAACACAGACTAGATTAAGAAAGAGAATTGAAATGGGGTGAGATACAAAGGGCAAATTTTATGGAAGACTTGGCACAGAAAGAACTATCCAAGTGTCTTCAATACCCATCTGTGCCAGGCTAAACTGTATCTCCAACTGATAGTGGCCCACAAGTTAGCTTATGCTCATGCTACAAACTTGTTTTGTGGAGCCCTGACAAAACTAAACTTTTATTACCTGCTCTGCAAATTGTGTACTTTCTAAGGGGGGGCCTCAAGTTAGGCCTTAATATGGTTTAATAAAAGAAAATAATTTTTAAAACTTCCTGCCTTTGTGGGGTATTCCCCCCTTTTAACACATTCATTACTTCCTAATATGTGCATTGTGGTAGGGGCTGAATTGCAGAGATAAATAAAGCTTGAAATCCCTCAGCCCATACCCCACACCTTTATAAACTTACTTTTGCCTCCTTTCTCAGAAGAATAGGTGTCTATCTCAGAGCCAAGCAGTCCTCCTTCCCTATGATCTTTTTTCTTCCTGTCTTCTCAGAAGGCTTGCTCCATCAGTTGTTACCCTCTATTTTGTTTTTTAACTCTGCCTATGTTTCCCTCAACCTATATGTGTCTTCATGTCACTGTCCTTCACATCTCAGCATCTTGAAAAATTAACTTGCTTTTCTTATCAGTACCGTACTACCCACTCGGGCTTCAACTTGCTGCCAGCCAGGCTTTGCACTACCATTCCCTAGCTCCCGAGTCCATTGAAAACGCTCTCGATCAGGTCACAAGTTGACTAACAAATTATACGGTAGGTATTATTCAGCCCTTGTCTTACTGTATCTCTCATAACAGTTAACATTTGACCACTCTGTTTCCATGCTACCACACACCTGGATTTCCTTCACCTACCTCTCTGTCTCCTTTTCAGTCTCGTTTGCTAACTCCTATCTTTGTCCACATTTAATTGCCACTGTTCTTTAGAGTTCTCTTCTGGCCCCTGGTCTCACTTTACATTGCTCCCTGAGTGATCGCATCCTCTCCCTTGACTTCTGCTTCAACCTATTTGCTGGGCATTTCCAAATCTAAGTATCACTTAATAAACTATTAAAGTAGTCATCTCTCTCTCTCTGTCCAGTCAGGTTTTCTTCATTTTGTCCGTCACATGGCTAACAGAGGGATTGTTCTAAAAGTACAAATACAGTTTTCTCATTCCCTCTTGTAAAAGTTTTAATGACTCCTTGTCACCTGCATGGTAAAATCCAAATTTTCCCTCCCATGTTACCTCCATAGAGTATTCTTAATCATACCAAGTTCTTTATTCTTGCCTGGTTATATTGCACCAATTCTTGCCATATCCTCATGACTTAGTAGATGCTGTTCCTTTTGCATGGAATACCTTTCCCCATCTTTGTTAGCATGGTGAGCTTTATTTATCCCTGAAGATCAGGTTAAGCATCATCTCTGTGAAGACATCTCTGATCATCCAAGGCAGCGTTAATCATTCTGTGCCTTGTATCATTTTCACTTATCTCTGTTTTTAATACTTTCTGCATTTGCTAATGTTTTAACTCTTTTTTGTTTGTTGAACTTTCATCCCAGACATTAGTTTCTTTAGGTTAGAGCTCGTGTCGTCTTCATCTTTGGATCCCTAGTATTTAACAAAGGACTTACAAATAGTAGGTGCCCCATAAGGGTTTAAAGAAAGAGCAAATGTTTGTGCTCTCTATGCATCTACTGGGGAGAGTACAGGGTGGGCAAAAGGAGATTTACAGTTGTATGTGAAACAGTTTATTCTTGTATTCTTATTTATTAATTATTGTATTATTTTCCATAAGAACAACTACAAACCTACTTTCACCCCACCCTGTACATTGTCTTGTGGATTTCTCCGCATAAAGGGATCGTTTCAGGGCACTGTGGTAAGCAGCATGAGGAGTGTGCGGATTCTTTGGCCTCCCCTGGAAGAGGGAATGGCTGGGTGACGCAGAGAAGGTCAAAGAAAATCTTCATGAAGAGGAGAGAGAAATGGGAAACCGTCTTGATACATCCAGAAAAGAAGCTACATCAGGTGTGAGGGGTCCACAGTGTGTAGGAGTAGTTAGGAGACGAGTTTGGAAGTGAAAGCGGAGGCCAGAAAATGAAGAACCCATTTGGACCTGCTTTAGAACTTGAGCTTCCACCTTTAGGGGAGAAATTAGAAGTTTCACCCAGGAAGGTGGTAATGTCATATTTTTGCTTTACAAAGATACAGCAGGCAGTTGTACGGAGGGATGGGAGACTGGAAATAGGGAGAGTGGTTAGAGTTCCACAAGTACAGAGTTTCTAGAAGCTGCAGTATTGGAAAGGAAAGGAGTGTGATAAACCCACGTTTGCGTAAGCAGTGTACCATGACTACCAGTGTGTTCTGACTTTGTGGTGTACTGTGATTTGCTTTCCTCTGTTCATAGTGCCCTCTAGCATCCTGATGAAATAATGGTGAAGCATTTCTTGCAACTTTCTGACTGAATGCTATTTGGTTACCATGACAAAGAACACATATATCTATGTGCTGCTTTTCCTTTTAAGGACCACCAGGATATCTTTCCTTTGCCTTAGCAGTGCACCTTACCATCCGCCTTCAGCCCATTTTCCTTTTTACTACTTCTCCCAATATCAAATAGGATGCTTACAGCATATTTGAAAATAGACTAAAAAGCAGCTAGAAACACTCCACCAAATATAGTTGACCCTTCAGTAGCATGGGGGTTAGGAGTGCTGACCACTGGTGCCGTTGAAAATCAGTGTGTAACTTAAGTCAGCCCTTCACACATGCAGATTCCCAACCAAGGACTGAAAATACATAATGTCAGTCAGAACTTCACAAGGAAAATGCTTCTTACTGTGAGGAATTTGTAGTCAATCTGTCTTCCAACCCCAACCCCCATTTCCAGTACTTTATGCTATCAACAAAAGTTCATTTGATTTTAAAACTATTAGCTGTAGCCTCATCTACTTGAAGGCAAGCTGCATCTTAACTGGTCTCGGTGGCTGAAGCTGTCAGAGTTGGCACGTGATGTTTGTTCCAGTGAATGAGCAGTAAGTCGTGTTTTCATAAGCGTGCTAGGGAGTTTTCCTGTTAACTAGCTTTCAGAAGGACATTCTGCATAAGAAAGCAGGTTATTTAGTGTTCTGTAGACTTCTTTGTAACCTATTTTGGACTTTGATAAACTGAATTCTTAATCTTTAGCCATTGCAGGTGGCTATTTACGTTTGGAGTCCTTTTTATTGTTACTGTTTTTAGGGGCATTCATTTAAACCGTTTATTCACGTCATCTCAACTTAGACTTTCACAATTTCAATGAATATTTCTTTTCTAGACCACTAACCATCCTTATTTGTTAAAAATAAATAAATGAATGAATAAATAAATAAGCAAGCAAGCCCTGTCAAAAATGCTTACAATGAGAGTATCAGTGCCATGTGGCTTCAGATCTATGGTCCTTTGGCCTCAGTGACTTTGTGTCATTAAGGTCATGTCTGATTCCATGAATGTTAAGAATACCTGTATACACTAGATAATCACTTTTCCATTAACAATTCATTAATTTATCTAAACCACTTCATCCTGTGGAGGTACTGAATGTAAGAGAGAGCGTATCAGATTTATTAGAGGGCTTTCAAATTATACCACCAGCATCTCTCATTAAATTCTAATGTGATTTTCTTGAGCACCCACTGAGAATTATTACCAAGGGTTTTATCTATAGGTTTTAAGGTAGCAAATGGAAACTTAAGAGTGCAAACTTTATTTAATGTACTTATATTATTAATCCATGTTTCTTTTTGCACAAATTTCACCAGCTTGCTATATTCTTTGAAAGCAGGACTTCCTTTTATTTTCACTGTCAAGGGAGGTACCCTGTAGTTGAAGTATCTGAAAATATAGTGCACAACTCCATCCTGGACTGTTCATCCTATCCACGCCCTCCTAATTTCATACCTTTCTCACATTCGTCCTCTGTCCTTACCCACCTAGTTCCCTGTCCACTGTCCCTTTCTAGCTCCCAGTCATTTTAATTGCCCTCCTCTAAATCTTCTCCAGTTTTACTTTGTCTTTTTTCAAGGTAAGTGATCTAGGTATCTGAATTATAATGTATTTCAGATGTAGATTTTACTAAGGCTTTACTTGTGGATAAGATAGTGTTGTTTTGCCCTGGCATGGTTGCTCAATGGTTAGAGTGCTGGCCCACAGACTGACGGGTCCTGGCTTGTTGGGGCCAAGGGCACATACCTCAGTTGCACGCTCTTCCTGGCCTCAGTCGGGGTACATGCAGGAGGCAACCAATCAATGTGCCTCTTTCATATTGATGTTTCTCTCTCTCTCTCCCCTCCCCCATCTCCCTGAAAAGCTATGGGAAGAAAAATATCCTCGGGCGAGTATTAACAAAAAAGTTAGTGTTATGTTTACAGTTGTTTTTCGGTGGCCATTTTATTGAAAGCTTTAAGTAAATTTTGCCAATTTTTATCTTTTCATTGACTATTTTAGTGTTCACCTTCAAATTGTACCTGAAGAAAAAAAAGTGCTCCTAAATAAAGCTGCTAGTGATTGCTTAGTATCTTCCTTAAAGGTACTTAAAAATCATACACACAAAGAAAAACTCCTACAGTTCAGGGTTTCCCTACAAAAATTTTATGTGTCTGCTTCTCTTAGAGGTAATCACCTTACACTGGTGACAAGCAAGGTAATGCTTACAGGGGACTGGCACCAGATGCTTTATTGGGGCTGGCTTATTTGTGTGTTTGTGTTAAAGTACGTTGAAAAATCATCAATGGTCATTTTACCTAATATGACCAGGAAAAAGTTTTGTGCCAGAGACTTTTTTAAGCACTTTGCTTATATTGACCTGTGAGGTAGATGATATTCCAATTGTCCAGATTAGAAAATTGGAGTACAGAGCTGCAAAATAATGTACCCAGGGTCAACCAGCTAGTAAGTGTTCATTATTGAAATCTAGCCCCGCTTCTCAGTGGATTCCGTGTGCTTTCGTTTATGTTGTTGCTGACTTTTTTTAGAAAGCAGTAACTTAGCCCATTCTATTTGCTAATACCCTTAAGTTTTCTTATTTTCTTTCCCTCCAATTCCTACAAAGTGTATGAGAAAATTTTTATGTGATGTGCTCTATTGGTAAAATCCCAATCTGGCCTTTATCAGCTCCAGTTTCTAATCATCATTTCTCTAAAACTGGATAAAGAAATAAGATTTGTGAACACACACTTAAAACACCACCCTTACCAATGACCTGGTGGTAACAGAAGCCCCACTCCTGCCACAAAGTATATTCAGATCAGCTCCATTTGAATTTCAGAAACTTGGAAAAAGACTTGGTCCTCAGAGCATGTAGGAGAAATGGTAGGTGGTTCGGCATCCCCACGGCCACACTTGGAGAGTTCTCGGTGCCAAGACTTGCTGCCACGGCCCGTACCTGCAGCTTCCCCGTGCGGGCGAGGGGGCACGATGCTGGTGCGCACCCAGGGGCTCCTGTCTGAAAACCTGTTCTGTTTTCGCAGTGGACAGCCTGCTGAAGTACACTGGCTACGGGAATGCCGCGGGGCTGCTGGCGGCCAGGGGCCTCTTGGCCGGCGGGAGAGGAGACACCTGGTACTCGGAGGACGAAGACACGGACACCGAGGAGTACAGGAGCGCGAAGCCCAGGTGCCGTGCCGCTGCCCCACGCTGCCCGCGCCTCCACCGCCCTACTCGCCCTTCGCTTCCTTGGCCTCTCATTTTCCAAGTATTTCTTTTCTTTTGTGGATTTGGAAGCTTTCCATTTAATAGTGTTTTTAGAAGCGGTTTCATAGCGCATGACTTAGAGTGACTTCAAGTGATTGAGGAAGGGTAACAATTGCAAGAAAACAAAATGCTCATTATCCTGTCCCAAGACTTAAAGAGAGATGGTGCTTTATGTGTGCACCATCTTACACTTTGAAAGTATTGTTGTTTCCTTTTTGCTTTTCTTTCCATAGGTTGAGATCTTGGAAGGTACAACCAAGATCGTGCACCTCAGTTGGCTCTTTGATGTTTGAGTCTTTCTGAGGAAGCTAAGTGTAGATTCCGTGCATTCTGCTCTTTCCTCTTACAGAAGAGCCTCTGTGAGTCAGCAAAGCAGCAAGGCACATGACTAGCAAAAGGAAAGAACTTCGGCTGCACAGTAAATTTTACTCAAACACTAAGGAAATTACCTCTGAGCAGATGCGTTAGTGTAGTGAATAGGCAAACCCGAGACTGTCAAGTCTTCCCTGAGTCAGTGCTTACAAATCAGACACTCATTCCTTTCTGTCCCAAACCAGCTCCTTCCCTCTGCTCCTCCCAACCTCTTCACCTGCCTCTCAACCCCCATCCCAGGTGAATTTCTTAAGTTTCCACTTATTAGGAGTTGTTTGAGCTCAGTATTCTGGTTTCCATTCCTGAATGTTAAAAGAGCGACTGCCTTTTGGCATCAAAGATGTTGACATGCTATGTTTTCTACTGATAATCTTCTGGAGTGTGATGTGGGTCATGTAGTAGTTGATCAAAGATAGAAAAATCATTATCTGCAAAATTAGCCCCCCCTTTTTTTCATATAGATCCTGCCCTGTTGGCATGAAAGTAATGGGTTGTCAGAAGGTAAAAAAAAAGATCATTCCCTAATTAGATAGGAATTAAATTGCCTGTATTCTTGGCAAATTAAGTCTCAATAGGTAGCATTACTTTTAGCATCGCCAGTGCTATCAGTCTCAGCAAGATCTTAGAGTATATCCCAGAAAAAAAGGCTTTGGGGGAAAAATGCTAGCAGTGACTCTAAGTAGTAAGTTCTCAAGACTGCCACCATTTAGATGTTATAAACTGGGCATCGCTATCAAGTATATGTAGACAAGATAGAGGAATATTTCAGTCTTTCCCTAATTATATATAATTTAATTATAAATTAGTCTTGCTCACTCTTGTTTTTTCCATTCCATAAACTGTATTTCCATATCAGTTTAATATTTTATATCTCTCCATTTGAGACTTTAAAATATAACAGGGGAGAAGTCTCATATTAAATGAACATAGAAATTGCATTAGGCTTCCTTTGTGCCCCAGGGATATAGACACAATCAACTTAGACAGCTCTTGAGTACTTACCTGAGGATGGTCTATATTGCTGCAACTCAATGTGTATTGTTGCTTTTGTTTGGTAGATGACTTCTGCAATGGTAATGGTCATGTATCTAGCAAGCACCAGAATGCTCTTCTAACAAGAAAGAGCTCAGAGAAAACACAAGAACACTGGGTCTGTCCCAACGGTATGGGAAAGAGACATGCTAGATTTCAGGAGAGCACTATTTGTTTAAATCAAGGACCATGATGTTTGATATTGTTATTGTCTTGGCTTTCTGTCATAAGATTCTGTACTTGGGCCTTAGATTTCTAATCCTTTTAGCCTTTGAACCTGGCCTACGCTGTTTATAGGAATGGTGTAGTTATGATCAGAATAGTCACCATTGTGAAACCTTGTGTTTCTGAAACATTACTCATCACAAGTATAAATATGTTTCCCATCTGTTATTTTTTTCTTATATCTTCCCTACTTTCAGGTGAAACAGGGTAGTGGGATGTTTAATTTATTAACTCAAAATACTTATTTAAATGGTCCTTTAGGAAGTAGTGGTGAATAAAGTACTTTGCAAGCAAGACAATCCTTTGTGCTCTAGGGAATGATCCACAGAACTCAAAGGACCTTTTCCCTAAAAATTATTATAAAAACTTTTTATCAATCTAGCAGAGCTTATAAAATCAGTGTCTGAAAGGATCGCTTACTCCCCTACCCCCTGGTTATCCTTTACCGGTCAGTGTTCCCAGGATCAGGGTCAGTGTTTCTTATGATGCATTTATTCACAAGAGTTGCTAGTTATTGGCAGAAGCAGAGAAATTACCCTTCCTCCAGTTGGCCCTTGTCCCATTGTAAAAAATGTAAGTGGATTTTGATTAATGCACCAAGGTAACCTATAATCCTTTAGTGGAATCTGAAACCAAGAATTGTATGGGGCTTACATTCAGGCTATGGGAGACAGTTAATATCACAACAGTCCTTTTTGTGTCAAAATAAATGTATTTAATGGACTGGAAATGACTTTCTGTAATTAGCACACTTAGATAGAATATACTCATAGAATCAAGTTACATGCCACACAAGTTTTTGGTATATGTCTAGCCATGTTTGTTAAAAGTTTTCAGATAAACTTTGCTATTGTAGCAAAGAGAAATCAAATTTCTAAATTCTAATTTTTATACCTGTTTCTTTTGTGCCTCTGAGCATAGAGGCCCCTGAACTGTTTATGTAGTATAACTGACTGATATGTTGTATACATCATTCTAAACATCAATCAAAAGATGTGTATTGAATGACATTTGGCTCATTTTAGACAAATGGCTTTCAGGTTAGATATCTAGGAGCCTAGGGGTCCAAAGAAGTGTCTTTAGGGGCAGAAGGAGGGGATGGCCAGAGTGGGAAGAACTTTAAGATACATCATTACAACCTTAATACCCCCCCACTAGTTCAAATCACATTCAGAAGCTTAACATTATACTAAGCTACTTGGGTATTGCCTTCTTGACTATATTTCTCTCAGCAGTAGCTGTGGCAGCAGCTGTATTGATAGTTTCTTTAGCACAAGACAAAAGACTTTTTTTCTTTTATTTGTCAAGGTTTGTTATGCTGCTTTAAGTCAGGTCCCATTATTACTGTCTCCATATATTGGAGCTATCCAAATGGAAGATCTTTGTGTTTAAGTAAATGAGCCAGAAACCAGGACTTGAAGATTTTCCCTTTGCCTAGTTTGGGCTGTGATGTTATGTTTGTGTATGATAGGATTTAACTGGCATTTCTAGGAACTGGAATTTATTTACTGTAAGCCATCATGAAACAATCTAAATTCAGATCTCTAAAAGGTCAGAATTGAAAATAAAATTGCCACTTCTGCCATGTACACTGGTTCCGTAAGTTTACCAGCCTTTGTGATATTTGCAACTATACCAGTTTTGTACTTTCAAAATTGAGTTCTCTATATTTTTATTTTTGTATTATAATTTGGGTAAATGGCCAGCAAGAGGTCAGGTGTGTTAGATAAAGTACAGTGTTGCTCCAGGTTTCATTTCCTATAGATTTACAACCATAGTTTCTGTATCCTTTGTAATCAAGGATATCAGTCTTAATCCAAAAAGCCCAACATAGGAAACACTTAGAAAGCAATATAATTTAAAAAGACATTTTGGGTTTTTTAAAATTGCTTAGATGAAATATGGTATTTATATACGTATGTATATGTATTCAGTATGTATATTTGTATGGTTGCTACACGACAGACACTTAGTAAATAATTGATAAGTAAAAGAGTGACACCATACACCCTAGTTCTTTGCACTGCTAATGGAATGCAGAAACTTGGATTAAGATGCTTCATAATTTACCATCTTGTTTAATGTGGAATCACTGTTCCATTTTTATGGTAATTCCGAAACTACTTGAGACATTTTCAGCCTCAGTCACCATTTATTGATGTCTCTTCCACATACCTTCTATCTAAATTTATCTATAGGAAACTGCTCAAAATATCTAATTGTTGCATGGCTTCTTTAGTTAATGAATATTGTACAGACCACTCCTGGGTGACAATTTAACTGAATAGAGTGAGCTCACTGCATCATCCAAGGCCTTCTGGCTTGCTTATTCCTTAGCAAGTGGCTCACTTATGCTAATAATGATAGCTGGTATTTATTGAGTGTCTAATATGTGCCAGGTACTGTTCTAAAAACTGTACTGGTATTATCTCATTTAATCTTCATAGCAACCCTTTGGGATAGGGTTCTCCTCATTTTACAGACGAGGATACTAAAGCTCAGTGATGTCAAATACTTGTGTGGGACACATAGTTCATGAGTGGGTCAGGTGGCCTGACTCCAGAGCTTATGTTTTGTTGTTGAGGTAGGCAAAGCAAGTTTTAATGTGCTCTTCACTTTGCCTTCTTATTTGGGAGGTAAAGTATACATAATATAAAATTCACCATTTTAAGAACCACATATAGGTGAAATCATAGATAGTATTTGTCTCCTTTTGTGGACTGGCTAATTTTACTTAGAATAATGTTTTTAAGATTCATCCGTGTTGTAGCATGTGCCAGATTTCCTTCCTCCTTAAAGCTGAATGACGTTCCATTGTATGTACCACATTTTATTTATCCGTTCTTCCGTCAATGGACACTTGGGTGGTTTCTGCCTTTCAGCTGTTGTAAATAGTGCTGTTGTGAACATGGGTAGACACATCTCTGTTCAAGTCTCTGCTTTCACTTTTTTTGAGTGTATATCCAGAAGCAGAATTGCTGGGTCAGATGGTAGTTCTGTGTTTAATTTTTTGAAGAACTACCATACCATTGACTATCTTACTGTCTCACCTTTTCCAAGTTTTTACTCAGATATCATCATCTTAGTGAAGCCTATTCTGTCCCCTTATTAAAAACTGCAGCACTCCTACCATCACCCCTCCACTTTACACTTACCTCACATTGCTCTTTTGTTATAGCACTTATAACACCCATACAATCTACATATAAAGCCTGTTTTCCCCATTGGAAGATAAGCACCAGGAGAGAAGAGATTTCTTTGGGGTGCAGGGGGTCTGTTTTTGTTCATTGAGATGTCCCCAGAGTAGTACCTGGCACACAGTAGGCACTCAGTAAATTTTTGTTAATTGTTTTGAGTTGTTGACTAAATTTTCTGAGTAAGCTTCTCTCAGCATTGGGATACCAAATGATTGAGGTTCCTGTCTTCATCAAGATCAATTTGTAGTTGGGGAGTGGGAGCAAGGAATGAAATTCAAGAAAATCAGGATATGGTAAAGTTCCACTCTGCTCTTTTGTTGTTTTGTGGGGAACAAATATTCTGGGGAGTTTTTCCTGGAAAGGCTTTTCTAGATTCATTTGCAGATAATGTCTCCTTTCCCACCCTACCTATCCCCTTCTTTTCTAGTCTGTTTCACAAATGCCTTTTCCTAAAACCCTGATTTCTTTCCTAGAGGTTGCAGATTGTAAGCGCATAGGTTACATTTAGCCCACAAGTAGGTTCTACTTGACTTCCCCATGTTGCATTGATTATTTGGGTTTTGGGGTTTTATTTTTTTATTTTACATAGTACTGCTTAAAATAATTACTTTCCAGCATTTAGAATTCAGATATTTCATGTGAAAAATTGGATTTTCAGCTCCTTTTAGGAAAGTGATGGTTCTGATAACATTCTCACATGGCACCCGACTGATGGAGTTGAGTGGTGTGGTCCCCTTCATACCAGGCAAAGGCTTCCTTGATTTCACACCGTTAACTTTCATATAGTTCAGGGAACTTTTAATGGCTCTTTTTTGTTAGGTGACCTAGTGCTGATGGCCAAATGTAACAACAGTTTGAAGAAAGAACAGAAGTCTTGAAATATATTTCAGCTTCTATGCATATGTTCATTCGCTCATACCTTTTTAGTATGTCCCAATCCTTTGGTCTCCGGGCCCATAGCTGTTCTCAGTTCATATAATGGCCTTATATAATACAAAATTCTCAAGTAAATACCACAGATAAGAGTTTAGATACTTCTTGTCATCTAACTGAAAGACAAATATAATCATAGGACAGAGTGCTGGGAAGGGAATAGAAACAAGGTGGAGAAAATAATAAATATAAAATTACCCAATAAAACATCCACCACAGTTAGTGTACTTAAAGCGTCTTAAAACTCAGCATCTTGGAACAAAATAAAACTAACCCCAGAATTTCATAGGGTTAAGATCCTGAATCCTGGAAAGCTAAGTCTTATACTATGCTGTTTGAGGTTATAAAGGTGGCAAGTGTTTACTCAACTGAAAATAACCTACTTTATGGAAACTGACATCATTGCTGTGGTGATTCTTACTTGTTTTCTCTTCTTCCCTGGGTAAGGAAACTTCGTGTGACTGGTTTGAAGTAGGGAGCAAGAGAGGAGACAGTGCCCCAGTCTGCCTCCTTCCCCCAGCATTGGCATTTTCCCCTTAAAAGAGTGGCATAGTTCAGGGCCCCAGCTTGTGTTTTCTGTGGTATTGTTTACATTGTTCTGAGTATGGGGGGGAGCTTGTTTTTGTAAAGGAAAAACTGAAACCTGGATCCCTGGAGTGACTGGGGGGTTGGAATGTTTTACTACATGAGTAAAGGATGGTAAGTTCCTACTCCAAAAAAAGGAATTCCTGGCTACTGCTTTTTTTATGTTCAGTGAGCAAAGGATTTTGTGATTTCAGTACTAATTTCAGAGCAAGCCATTAAATTATTTTAGCAGCAGAGGACTTGAGGTCAGCTTATGGAAAACAGACATCATTTTCATTAAACCCTTAAAAGAACCAAGAAAAGCATCAAATGTGCCCCGACCCAAGGAAACATGTCCTGGCATTTGTGTGCTGTGGTGCCCACAATACCACAGAGCTTACCAGCGCGTTCTCCTGACACATCTTCCCCTGAGGCACGTGATGGCTGTGTAATATTAGCATAGGCTAAAATCACCCTCCACGGACCGTAGGAGAGAATCCTTCACTTACGAGACAAAATGAGCATATATAGTTAGTACACCTACTGCCTTCCCTTATACTTTGTTCAAAGACCTGACTTCCTCTGTTTGCTTGGAAAGTGGTTATGTACCTATAATACACATTTTTACTTATTATTTATAAGACTAGTTGTTTTTCTGATTTAGCAGGCAGCAGTAGAGAAACCAGTGAAAACTTGTCTCACTGTTACGTGCCTAAGCAAATAATAGATGGGTGGTGGAATTACATTTTCAGTGTGGCATCTGGATACCTCTTAAGAACTCTGTCATTCTCAGAAGCCTTGTCTAGGTCCGCTTTGTTCTTCACTTTTGGGAAATATGATGACCCCATTCAGCGTTCTTGTTAATGGCCACTAACTAGAGGCCTTTCTCTCTTCTTTTACAAGCACCTGAAAAAAGAAGAAATAGTAGCACACAATGAGTGTCTGAAGTAGGCACTCTACTCTAGCCCAGTGGTTCCTACCTCACTGCGGATCAGAATTACCTAGAAAACTTTATACATATATATACATACACACACACACACGTATATATGTGTGTGTGTGTATATATTGGTCTGAGGTGAGGCCCATGCCTTTTCTTTAAAGTTTCCCAAGTGATTTCTCATGTACAGCCAACGCTAAAAATCATTGGCAAGCCTGTGGGTTTCACACTGCTTACCCTGAGTGCCAGAGTTCCTGAAAGCGCCTTAGGGGCTACCTTAAGAGTGCAGACAAATGGAGGAAGCTCTTGGCCATTCCTGTTCCTTCTGCCTGAGCAGTTCCAACTTTTATGTTTTGTATGTCGGCCCTGTACACAGGATTTCATTTGTTAAATAAGAAGCAGGGGATAGTTTCCACTACTATGACAGAAAAAAGGTTTTTTAACCATGGCTCTAGACATAGGTCTTATGTAGGAATTGCAAAACACATGTGTTAGATCATGTTTTTGAGGATGGTGAGTGCTGAGTCCTTTTACAAGAATCTGTATGTTGGGTAGCCTCCGAGAAATTCAGCAAAGGAAAAGGAAATCTTCTGGTAATAGATAATAGTAACTAGTGGCCTATCCCTTACTCCAAATGAGAAAAGCCCCGGTCAGTAAAGAAAGTAAACTTGCCCAAATAAGAGTCTAAAACTCGCCAACAGAGAACCTAATTGATCACAATGTCTTTGTTTTGGCCCACGTAATTTTTTTTTTCTGCTTAGACTAGCATTCTAGTCTCCAGTTTACTCCAGTCCCAGCACTCCACGTTGTTTATACTGACCAGTTCACTCACCTGCTTATCCTGAAGGCCTGGCGCCTGAATGCATTTGTGTTTGTAGGCCCTACAAAGCAATTTATTAGCAATTTGCTGTTTGCGAGGATATTTCATTTGATCATTAAACACAGACCATCTGTACTTAGCTGGTACAAAATGCTATAATTACTTGCCCTTTTCTCCAGAAACACGTTTAATTTACAGATATTTAGCAGCATTGGAAGAATTATCTTCTATTTCACTGTGTAAAAAAAAAAAAAAAAAGTGTGACTTTTATCTAAGAGGAAAGCTTATTTGGTTTTAGAACTTCATACAGAGTTTATGGAATGTATTCATTCTAAGTACTTTATTAAATCTATTTCCAGAAAGTCAGATGGTATACCTGTCTCTTGTAGGCTAGATTTCATTCCTTTTTTATCTAGGTCAGATCAGGTCTAATTAAAATTGTTCTTCTGCTTTATCTTTTATTATTTAAACACTCATTGCCTTCTGTGGTCTCACTAATGGACTAATTTCCTGAGATTATAAATTGGCATGCTTTCATTTTTAGATTCTAGCCTCTCTGTCATCATTTTTCCAATTTTTTTTTATATATTTGTTTTATGCTGTATCACAAAATGAATTTCTTCCTCTCTGAAATCATTTGTCCCCTTATAATTAATGAATACGCTGTGCATCCAGGGATATTTACCCTAACCCCACCAATCAAATTTCATAATTTTAAAAAGCAGCTGTGCCTTTTTTTTTTTTTAAGTTGGCAAGTTAGTTTTGCTTTTTCAAAAACAATAGTTAATACCTGTTTCCCAAAGCAAATTACTAGGAAAGTAAATTTTTTTAAATCCCTATAGCAGTTCTATACCATAAAATTGCTACTATTGCCAGTTTTTTGGCAATTATACTCTTTCTTATTATAACTTACAACTTGGACCAGCAAAGTATAGAAAGAGCATAATTTTAAAACATACAGCATAACTTTTTTTTCTTTTTGTAGCATTAATCTTATCACTGGTCATTTAGAGGAACCAATGCCAAACCTTATAGATGAAATGACAGAAGAACAAAAAGAATATGAAGCCATGAAACTTGTCAACATGCTTGATAAACTTTCCAGGTATTGTATTCCCATCCATATTTTGCTTGGTTTCTACAAATGTTCTATTTCTTTGTCTCTCTCGCTGAGAGTTACCATAGAACAGCAGCTCTGGAAATCCATGCTGACTGGCACAAGGTGGCCCGGGCTGCAGCAGTTAGCTCCTGCGGTCTCCTACTTGTGCCGCTCTGGATGTGCACTCTAAACAGTCAGTCTCTCAAAGCTGGGACAGTCACTGCTAGGTCACTGTGACATTTAACCAACTAACCTCCCTGTCTTCAAAAGGATGCTGAGTTAGGTTCAGTGATTTTGCTGCTTCTTGTATTTTTTGTTTTAGTCTGTTTTGGTTTTTGTTTCAAATCATGATGCTTTTTTTTTTCTTTTTTGATGTGCAAGTTTGCAATTCTGTCTTTTTGGGTTGCTGCTGAAACCAAGAATTCTAAACTGTCATGCACCCAACAGGAAAAAGTGAAAAGGAATAACTCAGATGCAGGCTTGCAGGCTTTTCTAAAAGCAGGTGCTTGTGTTAACAAGGGTTTCTAAAAACAATCTCCCCTTCCCTTCTTGCTCCACACCTCCTTCCCCTCCAAAAATAGTTTTGAAAATAATTAAATCAAATGTATACTAATCAGCAGCTAGTCATCTTGGAGGAGTTATTAGAAAATATTAATTCCTTTCACACTTGTCTGAATTGCTCTATTTTCCAGTCATACATTGAGTCACTGTCTCCTTTAAGCCATCTTGAGTGAGTGCTTCTGTGTGTTGGTGGCAGCTGTCACTTAAAGGTGAATTTCTTCTGTTCATCTCCTTTTTCACAACTATGTAAAGGCTAGTGTCCCTCAGTCAAGAGAAGTAGCAACTGGAATAGGAAAGCCAACCATTAAAGGGAAAGGTGAAATAAAGAAAAAAGCAGAGGCTAAGAGCACAGCAGGAGGCTCAGAGTGGAAATGTTTGAAAACATGGGCAGTGTGACAAGTGTGGATGGATATTTAGACACTGCAGAGTCTGAGCTTCTTTCAGATGAGGCTGGCAGTGTGGTAGAAGTTATTTAGAAGTACATGGTTACATCATCTACAAAGCTAGCATGACTAGAACTTAGTTACTTCCAGCTAGTCTTTTTAAACTCTCATCCTTTCCCAGGGTTAGAATTTACAGCCAACTGACAGTGCTCACAACTTCAAAAGACATTGTCATCTATTTGCAGATGACAATCTCCATACTTTTGATAGAACGGACATGTTCCTTCCCTGAAGGAATCACAGTCAAAGCTACGATACTGACATGGCAAACCTGTAAGAGGCAGAATAACAAGTTTAGAATGAATATATAAAAATAGGATTTGTGCTTAGCTGTTTCCAAAAGGACCTGATGAAACACAGTGATATAGCAGTTAGAATGAGAGCCAAGAGTCCCTCTGGTTGGAGCAGGAAGTGTTAACAAGACCTGAGTGGAGCATATTAGTATGTCAGGACAGCAAACCAGTCAATCACATAAATGCCATCTTCGTACATTATTTCAATAATATGAGGTTCTTAAAATATAACACAGATGCTAGTCAACTGGGCGATAGATCCAGGATGAGTAAACTCCAAACTAGGAAAGTAGGAGATGAGGGATAGAACTACCTGAGACAATACAGTATAATTCAGGCACTTACTGAAAGAGACAAGACCATTTCATGAGACATCCCTGTAACAGCAACAGTGCCAGGTCCTTCTCCTTGTAATCTTAGGGAAATCCATGTTTTCTAGAAGCTGCCAACAAATAAATACGCAAACATCAGGTCTGAAATACCAAGCTTCTACTTAATTTAAATTCTGCCTCAAAGAAGATACCCAGGTAGATGCCACCTCAACCTGAAGGTGACACTGATTTTTGCACCTATAAAGCAGAGCAAATATGTCTTGTGTTGGCTTGGATGGTACTGATTTTGCTGTGAAAGTTGAAGCTAAAGGCAACTTTGAGAATAGTCCTAAGTTACCGACTCTGCATGATGTGTGGTGGGTCTTTTACATTGTTTGCCTGTGTGTGCTTTCTAACATTTGCTCTCACTAATAACAATCAGTGACAAAGCTGCGTGGAGATCAGCAGTGAGCATTCCAAAGCAGGAATGCAAAGAATGAAGCCATTCTTTATGCGTCTTACATGTCTGTCTTAAGTTTCTTCTCTCTTTTCACTGTTGTTGGTTTTGGTTTTTTTGAGGTAAACAAGAAGCCATAAAGCCAAAATAGACTGAATGCAGTACAATTCAGGGAACATTAATTAAGCAGCTACTCTGTGCAAGGCACTGTGCTAAGAAGGTTGAGGGAGATTGTGAACATGACAGTCTCTGCCTCTGGAAAACTCACATTCTAGTGAAGGGAATGACTGTCATCTATCTATTCTAGAATACAAGGTGTAAAAGAAAATAACAAAATAAGGTCTGTGTTGAACCATCAGCACCCAGGAAAAGGAGCAGTTCATTCTGTCTGGATGAATCAGGGACTGTTTCACAGGGAAGGTAGCATTTGTGCTCATCCTTGATGTGTAAGAGGTTATTTAATAGACAAGTGGAGGAATGACCATTCATTCCAGGTGGAGGGAAACTTACTCTTCTTAAGATAAGTCTTTGGTATTCACATACTATAGCTTCTAAAGAGCTCAAGTTGTTTTATCATTATTTGATTAATAATTTATTACCAGATTTATCATTGGGGGAAGCAAGGCCCAAAGAATTGCCCCAAACATTTCCAAACTAATGTCTAGTGATAATCCACTTCCTTTAACAGTTTACAAAACACTTCACATACATTCTCTTTCTAGCTCCATAATAAAGTGAGATTAGGAACTTCATTTTCCAGAACTCAAGACCTTTGCTCTGTCTGCTGTGCTGCTGTGTCTGTCCAAGAGTCAGTGTCGCCAGAGCACTTCCTGATCATCCTCTTCAGCGTTGTGCTGCTGGTTAGTCCCCTCAGCTGTCCCCTAAGGATGTCCTGCATCCCACCAAGTCTTTATCGCGCTAAAAGTATCCCGAGCTTTGTCTGATTAACTTTCCTTCTCAGAAATGAAATCATTTTCTCCTGGGCCTGAAGTGAAAGGCACTGAGTAAAGGATAGGGTTGGAGGTGATGTGGCCAATGAATGGACACTAGACACTTCCTTTTTTCCATCCATAGGAGAGCAGATGTGAAGGACCTGCACCAGGATGGTGGTTAGCAACAGTGGCCCGTGCCAATGCACTTACCAAAGTGATGACTAAGGTTGGTCATGCCAGATACTATTACTGAGCCTGGTGTAGGGCACAAATGACATTCACTACCACAACTGTAAGACCACCAATGCGGAAACTTAAATTACATTTTCGTTTTGCCTCCATGCTGGACGTAGCCACTGCCTCAAGGAGCTCACCTCTTAGCAGCTTTACCTCACCTAGATTTCCAAGGACACTGGAGAGATTAGTGCTCAAACATTTTATTCCCATCAAATACCAACTGACTTAGTAGTATTTCAAGTGGTTGGTTTGTTTGTTTTTAAGTATAAGGATTATTTGTGACAGATGTAGGTAAGGGGATTGGCAGTGGACCTGGAGGTCTTAAGAGTGTGAGAATAATCTGAGCCCTATTAATCCCATCATGTCTAGCTATACAGTGCCTTGTACCCTGTGGTTTCCCCAGTGTGTGAGAAAATAACACAGCTGATCCCCAAATCTGAAGATCAGTTTTCTGCTCTATAAAATAGCCTATATGGTTTAAGACTTTAAGTATACTTTTGGCAGTTCCATTTCTTGGCCAAATGCCATAAAATTCAGGGTTAGAAAAGAATTCCATAAAGGTTCTTTGGCCCGTGACTGGCTAATTTAAATATATGGGTACATAATTCCTTTAATATAGAAAGATAATTATAATATTTATGAAACATAAGCATTAAGACTTGAGGCATGAGATTATAAAAAGCTTCATTTGACAGTTTTAATGTCGGAGCAGAGGTGGAAAAGGGGATGAAACTTGCCTGCCTCTCCACCTCATCTATCTTTCTCTGAACTGGAAAAAAATAAGCCCCTGCAATTTAAGCAGGAGATTAGAATGGGGATTGTGTGTGGTTAAGCAAGTCCAGTGTGGCTAATACAATTGCATTCACCTTAGTTACAGCACACAACTCGTATATAATAATGCAGCCTCCTCCAGAAAAGGAGAGAGAGGCTTGATTGGCTTAAGTTTAAACTAACCAAGGGAAATAATATTTCAAGTTTGTTTTGACTTTTCTAATCCCCTTTAGTTCCTTAGTTGGAACCAGTACTTATTAATCTTATACTCCACCCATACCCCATCACTGTTTAACAAGGTACATTGCCTTTTTGCATATATATTCTATCAAAATCCTCTAAAATTTATTTATATAAATAAATAATAGTTTTCCCATTTCTTCCTTCTCTTATCTACTCCTTATTTATCCATTTATTCACTCATTTATTTATTTATTGCCAGTCACTGTGTAGTTTCTGGGACATGGCTTTCTTAATAAATGCAGGTATTAAATATGGAATAGTTCCTTTTAATACAAAGATTATTTTTAAACTTACTAAAGCTGAGACAGGTGACTTATGACTGAAAAGTAATATACAGTTTTTTCCTTATAAATAAGTTACTTTGCTCTGCTTACAAGAATAACAACTGTGATTACACCCATCTTTTTGAAGTTAGTCAAGGAAATGTTTTTCAGATACATTTCAGAAATGTGGTCCAATCTTTGGAGCATTGTGAGAGCCATTGTAGGAACTGAAGTATAAAGATCTTAATTGTTTACATCAGAAAATCCTTTAGCTCTCCTCTGTCTAATATGGTAACCACCAGCCGTATATGACCATTGAGCACTTGAGAAGTGGTTAGTCTGAAGTGGGATATCCTTTAAGTGTTACATACTCAGACTTTCAAAGACTCAGTACAAAAAGAATTAAAATATCTCAACTGTTTAATATAGATTTTACATTGAAATAATATTTTTGATACATTGGGTTAAACAAAATATACTAAAAGTAACTTACCTATCTTTTCTTACTTTTTCAGTGTGGCTACTAGAACATTTAAGATTACGTATGTGGCTTACATTTTGTAGCTTACATTATATTTCCATTAGATAGCACTATTTCACATCATTAACATACACTGTAAGGCTGCATGGAAGTTAAATTAAGGGAACTTGGATCTAGTTAAATTAATGTACCTTTAAAGTGGCAGGTGAGGATTAATTTGAGAAACTTGATATTGTATATTATTAGGTTATAGAGGGACTGCCCTTTGGCTAGACCGCCCTTGGGGAAGGTATCATGCCACCTCTGTATGGCCGGCCAGTAGTCATTGCCCTCTAACTCTTAAGCACTAGCTGAAACAGCTTCTGGCTATTAGAGAAACATCAAATAAGAGTAACCCCCACTGGCTGTTTGCTCCCATAGTTACCTTCTTCGTTTGACTTTTCAGCCTTTCTACCTGGGAAAGACATGTAAGAACTTCTCTTTCTACTGCTTTAGTCAACAGTGTCAGTTGTCATGCTGACTTCTTATTAATATTTATTTCGCTAATTTGGACAATAAGATAGAAAAATTCTTTAAAGAAATTACCAGGAAATAATAAAGAACACCTTAAGGAAAAAACTGAATTTTATTCCCCAGCAATATCCCTAACCTCGGTCTCTGTATTTTAACCTTGCTGTTTAATGTGAGGTGGGTAGCAAACTTCTAGAAGCTTTGCATGTGATCTTCTAACAGTATTGAGAACAATAATAAAAGACTAATATTTCTGTAGTGCTTTAAAGTTTTTAAAAAGTGCTTCCCTATACATTATCTCCATTGGTCATTAAAACAGCCCTGTGACTTAGATAGGGAAAGAGGTGTTTTACTGAAGAGTAGATGGGACCAGTGATTACATGACTGACCCAAGATCGGGCATCCCGTTAATGCACAGCCAGGACTCAATTCTCAGTCTTCAGACTCCAGATCATATGTTATTTTGAAAATTACCAACACCTCTTCAAAATTTATCAGTCTGATTATTTTTAATAAGACATTCTAAATTTTAAACAAGTGCAAAGCATAAAGACAGATAGTAAGCATATTTACCTGAGAATTAAGATCTGGAGGACGTGTATGCTGCTCTTTCATTCTATAACTGGTTTGAGCTCTTTTCAAATATCAGATCAGAGCTAAATAAATAGCCTATGTTAAAAAGACACACAAAAAAAACAGCTTTATAGAGAAGAAACCAGTAAAATTGCTGTGATTCTATGCTACTATAAGGCCTCTTTTTTAAGTTAAAGTCTGAGTTTTGAAAAGAGTGATTATAAGTATTGTAAAAATTCTTTTATTTAGTATGATCACATTAAGAAAACTAAACTTTAACAAGGCTTCCCTTTGTGACTGTTTAGGCCCCTCCCAACTGCCTTCACAAAATGGAAGGACGTGGTGGACAGTACGCCATATCCATTTGTCTGGGGAATGGTATTTTTATGCTACATGTTTAACCTTCCCGAATGTACCCAATCCCAAAGCATGAAAGAGGCAGCCTGAATTTGCTGTGGAAAAGCCACCATATACCTCCCACCTACTGGGTTAGTGACTTAGTGAGAAATCAGTATAACCAGTCAGTACTAGGAAGCCATTAGACGAAAGACGTAAGGGGAAGTGAAGGATCAGGGTCCAAAGGACATTTTCACAGCATGTAACTGAATATGTTAACCAGAGCCAAAGGTGGTAATGTTATTTCTATGAGAAAAAAGGGGAGAGGGGTTAAAAATCACTATGAGCATATCACAACTATTGGGAAAATCCATTGTACTTCAGTGAATAATGGGCTATTCTAGTGATGCTGAAATCTTGAAATAAGATGCACTTTCAGACTTGGAATTAGAGCAAAGATTACAGAACTACTTTCTCCAGGCTATCACAGGCTTCATTCTTGCAGGCATTTTTGGAAAAGCTCTGTGTTAATTAAAAGGCTTTATTTATATACCAGTTTCTCATCCTATCTTTCAAATGTGAAAAGGAATTAAATATGAAATGGCTAATTTAAAATGTCAGGGTTCTTTTTTCCAAGCCAACCTTGCATTAAGAGCAGGAATCCCTGTGCCAAAGAAATGGTTCCCAATTATCCCATCCTGGGTTTTGTTATACATTGTACAGAAGTCAACAAAACAAGTATGTAACAGAACCTGCCTAAATAACAGCCACCCTCATTAAAAACAGAAAATTAATCAGGGGGTGATTGAAGGAAGCAATGCCTCATAGGTTCCCCCTTTTCTTCCTTTCTAATCATAGAACAAAATATGTTACATAAAAGGATCGGAACTATTATGCAGTACTCAATTAGAGGGAGGTGAATAGGTCTCTAACGTGCTGTTTTATCAAAAGAGCAGACCGGTGTTTGCATGACTGTTGTTTCATTACAGACCCTGTCATTAATTCCATGTGTCAATACTGCCCTGTAGTACACAGAGCAGACAAGAAAGAAGAGCCCTTGAAAACAAGGGAATGATTTTTGAGTCGTTACCAAGCTAAGTGGCAAGCGGGAAGCTGAAACTCGTATAGGTAAATTCGAAGGGACTCTCGGGAGATCTGCAAGTGGGAAACAAGAATGCATTTTACCAACTGCTTGATTGTGTCCTGTTTTTCAACAAGTACACTTGAATTGAATGCTTTGTTTGTATTGCACAACAACGTGCTGTGGGCAAGAGTATTCTTTTGCTTCCAGGTCAAGTAAGGTGTTTTATACACATACACATCTGGCCTCTTCTATAATGTGCTATTGGGTATATTAGCACCTGAACCCCAATACTGCACTGTAACTTCTGGGGGAAAGAGTTACATAGGTACCAGAAGCCCTGAAAAGTGGAACCTTCTCTAAGGTTCTCAGAAGTTATATAAGCCCAGGCATCCCAGAGGACCATACTTGCAGGGAATGGTGGCTCAGGAAAATGCTAAAATATATCTGGAAAAAAAGAAACATACCAGAAAATTTAAAATATGGTGTAAATCCCATAATCTCCCACCCCTAAATCTTTAAGAAAAAAGTATTTTTTTGGTTTCCATGAGCAGTCCCAAGGGCTAGGCTGGGGCAAAATAAGGTTTCCTTTCTTGGACGTGCTTTGTCTGTGTCCTCGTGCCTGGCCAAACCCTTATAGATTATGGTTCCTTATCGTTTAGTAAGATCAAATTTCTAAATGATGTTTCGTTCCAGTTGAACATTCTTGGAGGCTTATCTCTTCCCTGGCCAGATGCCTGATCAGATGAGAAGCCCGCCATGATACTGTCACAGTGCCTAGAATGGGCTCTTTATCCAGTAGACATCACTGTACTTTTTGATGATAACGAGGGCAGTCTTAACTTGTGTTAAGGCCTGTGTATAGCATTGAAGGTAAGTATGAAGGAGTTGTTGCTATGTGACTATCTTAATCCTGATGCACATTTCAATATACAATATCTCTGTTTAACCATGATGTACATATATCTGACACCCTTAGATGGGACCTTCATCACTTAGGACCAGTAACTCTTCATGAAATGGCCTATTTATTGGGGGCCATGACTGAATTTAGACCCTTCCACGTGACCTTTGCCATTGCTTTGATTTACTTGTTAATCATTCTAACCATCTGCGATAGTTTTGCAGAAAGGATTTCTGGTCTTGGTGTATGTCAGCAACAATTAGGTAGGATGCTGTGTTTGACTCTTAGGCTTAGATTATATTAATTAAAAACAAAGGCTTAGCAGTATTAAAAACCTAGCCATTTTTTAAGTAGATCAAAATTATTTAGTAGCCTAATACTTTAGACTCTTAGAAGTAGAATAGAGTCTTAGGGATCATCTTGTCCAACCCCTTCGTTTTATAGATGGGGAGACTTAAGCCCAGATAAGGAAATGACTTGCCCAAGGACACCCAGCAAGTTAGTGGGAGACCTGAAATTAGAATCTAGACCCCCTAATGCCCCATATAGAAAAAGCTGAACCTACACCATTTAGTGGTTGGGGGCTCCAGGCTGTACGGTGCAAAGGGGGCTGGACTTCTGCTGGACGTCACAATGTCTCATCGGGGAAATAATTACAGTTAAAATAATATGAGAATGATGCCTGACAAATGGTTCTCTACCACTCTCCATTTATGCTATGACCCATGTATTATATTCTCTCAGTAAACGTGTACTGAGCACCAACTGTGTTCTCCATCTTACACTAGAAACTCAGGTCACAGCCAGGTAAGACATGGACTCTGCCCTCAAGTTGCTCCCAGTCTAGTAGAGAACGAGAAACCCCTGGAAAGAATTTCCCGTAGGATGCTAACAATGCCTCTCCTAGCTCTGTGGATCTTGAGGGTGCAAGTGAGTCTTTTACCCAAAGATCTAGCTTTTCTCTTGGTCGTGCTCTGTTTTTTAGGAGGCCCATAGAACACCATACCGTTCCTTTCTGTGTAAATGAAAGGTGATACCAACTGCAACTAAGTTAGTTCATCAACACTTATTGAGGATCTGCTATCTGCAAGGCACTGTGCTAGACACTAGGGATGTGAAAATTAAAGCCTGCAACACTTTCTTTTTAGTATGTCAGTGATACTGTTTCATAGCTTCCAAACTTTGTAATGAGAATTATTTTCAATAAAAATATTCTTAAATGTGGGGCCCTTGAATGAGAAGGCAAAGATACCTCCGTACTGTAGTCCAGACTTGCCAGCCTAGGATTTCGAAGTCTCCTTTGAGATTCTCTTTCACACCCCATATCTGTTTTGAGCTTTTTTTTTTCCTTTACTTCAGCCAAGCCAGCCTGTTTGCCAGTCCCTGCACACAACTAACTCTTGCTTCTGTGCCTCTGCTTGACTAATTCTTCTGCTTTGGGATGCCTTTCTCCCCATGAGTCCATGTGCATCACTGCCATTATGGTCTGGCCCTGCGTCCATCTCCTGCAAGGAGCCTGTGAGCAGCCTCCCGTCTCCTGTGTCCCTCCCACGCGTACATATGACTGGTGGAGCAACATTTCTGTGGTCTTCATTAATGCCTCCCATTCTCTGTCCACATCTTGCTGATCTAGATACAACAGAGTTGACAAAGTGAAACAGTCTAATATAACCAGGTCATTTATCAGACATTTTAGGAGTGAGTCTCTATAGCAAAGATTTCACTTTGCTATTTGTGGGCTGTTAGTTGTATGATAAAGAATTCAGAAACATTAAGATGGAGACTTGAAAAGTCAGCCTGGGGTCTATAAGAGAAAACAGTCACATATCTGTAAGTGAACCTCTCTTTCTGCTTGCAGACAGGACAAAAAGTCTCCTCTGAGCAGATTCCAGTTGCATTAGGGTACATGGATGTCAGTCTAGGGAAAGCAGGGCTCTGCCTGTTATTCCTCTCAAGCTTGTTGAGCTGCTGTTCTGTAATTCTTCACTATTGTTTAATGTGTGTGTGTTTTATCTTCTGAACTGACTAAAAGCTTGAGGACAGGGACCATGTCTTTTATTTGCTTCTGCATTTCTTCCCCCACTTAATTCCCAGAGTCCCCTAGTGAGCTTGGGGAGACCTTCCGTAGGCACGTGACAGGAAATGCAACTTGTGGGTTCCAATGATAGTCCAGCCATTGCACTTCACACTTTAGATGTATAATAACCTTTTGCTCTTGTGACAGCTCAGTGAGGGGGTATTCCAGTCCCAGTTCTACACATAAGGAAGTGAGAGTTCAGGGAGTTCAAGGTCTTACTGCTGGTGAGGGTAAATCCAGGATTAGAACCTAGGGCTCTCTGACTCAAACTTCTATGTGCCTTTCATTACACCACAGTAATAACGAACATTCAGGACCCCTGTACAGTTCATAGGAGTCTTTCATCTGCATTGTTGTGATTATTGCCACTACCACTACTAGTACTATTACTGCTACTCCTCACATCACCACTAGGAAGTCGCTAGAGTAGTATCATCATCGTTCCCATTTCGCAGATGGGGAAACAGACTCAGAGACTTGCCCACGATCACACAGCTGGTAAGTGGAAGAGCCAGGACTTCAGACAGACCTCCTGGCGCCAGATCTTTTTGTTCTGCTACATCATGTTGCTGCCGTAATTCATTTGTGCAAATGCATTAGTACGTGGCCAGTTACCACTGACACCTCTGCCACAGAAGTGTCAGGAAGTCCAAGCGTCACGTGGAGCCATGTGGAAAAGAGAGTAATTCATACCCTCAGAGGCTTCCATATTAGCGGAGGGGTGAGACAAAGGGCCTGGAAAAGGAATGCTTGGAAGACTAGTTCACAAGGGGAATTAAAATGCGGGGCCCTTTGTCCTGTGGGTGAATTATTGGCCATAAAACTTGTGAATTGTTCTTCATTATTTCCGTTGTAAACGGGTAAGGAGTAGGGAGGAAACCAATGGACTTGACTAGAACATGTTCCTCCTGGACCTGAACGAGAAAGCCAGCGGCTCTCTCCAGCTGGGAGCCAGCCCAGCAGCATAGAAACGCAATAGCGTCAGCTGTGTTAGGGGTGATGTTTTGTCCACCAGCAGTTAATCGCTATCGTAGTAGAATTTCTCTAGTCTCACCTACTTCCACCTGCCCCACCCCACCTTTCTGTACCCTCAGGTCCACCAGCCTCCTCAGGCCTCTGAACTTTCTTACACCTCAGTGTTTCATTCCCAGCAGATTGTCCCCCTTTCCTTTTGTGTAAGTTACTAGTCAGTAGTGTGCAATAGCAGAGTCCTCCAGCCCATGGTTAGGAAACTGTGCTGTAGAACTACAGACATGCATAATGTGTGTCTGTGCTGGAGAGACGTTTTCATGGAAACGAAGCATTTCTAGCACCCCACAAGACGCTTGTACCTGGTTGTCATGCAAGGCCCTCAAGCTCTTCATGTTGTAAAGATGTCAGCATCTCCCCAGCAGGCCTCCATCCACTGTGTTCTTGCTACAGTGAATGGAGTGACCGTCATATGGTCAGCTGAGCTGGAAGCACGGGGACACTCAACTCCTTACTACCTCACCAGCCAGCCCCCCACCTTTCCAGTGGATCACAGGTCTACCTCGGAAACATAGCCTTTCTTCGCACAGCATGGCCATAGTACAGCCCGTGTCCTCTCACACATGGTCACAGTGACATCCTGATGACTCATCTCTGCCACAGTATTCCCTACTCAGTGTGTCCCCCACACTGCCGCAGAGACAGCTCCCCCAAGACAGGCCTGATTGGGCATTTTGACAGTAAAACCCAAGCTCCTCACTTTGCACTTAGGACACTTGACTGCTAGATCCCAAACTACCCTCCAGCCTTACTCCTGCAGCCTCGCCTCCTGCCACTCCTTCAGGGACCCTCGCCACTCCCCAAACACTGGAGCCTTTCACAGCTGCAGAGAGCAGACAGAAAAGAACCTCACACCGTTCAATAAGCTCTACAAAATCACGCAAGTAGATGGGACCATGTGGAGCCTTAACACGGCCTGCTGCGCCTGAAACGCTCTTACCCCTGCTGCCGGGCACAGACACCTCTTTGGTGCCATCCCCACCTCCCCGGCAGCATAGGCTGTGTGCTCCATGAGCCGCCACAGCTCTTGTCTGGTTCTCTTACAGCATTTTACCCCGTTATGTTCTAAGTTACTTTTTATGTGTATATTTCACCTCCTCAAGGGCAGCAGCTGAGCCCAGTCTTCTGTCTCCCCCGTATGTGGCGTAGTTCCTGGCGCAGTTATTGAACAGCTGAGTGCTGTGTGCTCCTCCAGTGCAGTTAGAGCAGGTAGCCCAGGTGCGTGTGCTGCGGAGAGCACTGAACTGGGTCCTGTGTCCCAGGTCCAACTTGGCCACTAGATATGTGACCTTGGGCAAGTCACTCAGTCTCTTCTTGAAGGAGGGGTTGGACTAAATGATCTCTAAGGCCCCTTCAACTTTAAGTTCTGTGATTTTGACCCCACTTCTTGGACCAGGAAACATGTTTCCTACTTCATAATATTCAGGAGCCTCAGCTTAGCCCATCAGCCATCCACATTACTGATTTTCAGACTCAGAAGTAGCCTTCCAGTGCTAGCCAGAGCTGCCTGATTAGGCTGCTGTTGGCTTCCCAGTGACCACTGAGCTGTCCTCACCCACCAGGGTGTTTCATTGCACTAGAGCACCATCAGCTGTCGTGTGGCCAGGGCTCCCAGGAGGGAGCCAGTCTTCGTGCTGGCCTGAGGGGACAACAGCAAGGGGGCAGGAGAGGAGGTTCTGTTATTTGCCTTCACTCCAGATCCCACCATGACAGCTGTTGCCTCTGGTTGTCAACATGGTTTCAGGGGGTGATGCCCGTTTCCGTGAGAAACACGTTCTATGTAGCTCATGTGCCAGTCCAGGCTCCACTCAAAGTGCACTGCTGGCCTTGGGGGTAGGAGGAGAGTCAGCAACACAACAGGTCCATTTGCCATAATCTCCATGTCATAAATAAGAGCCTATGAGAAGATTAAATAAATCTTTCCTAATGCTTTTTGATTGGCTTAATCAATAATTAATCATCTTTAGGTGAGGCTGCAACTTGCAGAGTAGATATAATTGGATTAGCTGGAAAGGGGCAGTTGGGGAGCTTTGAAGAGATTAAAAAGGCCGTCAGTCCCATAATTAACCTGCCACAAACAAAAGCAATGGTGTTTTCACAAAAGGAGAGAGAGAGAGAGAGAAGGAAAGAAAAGGGAGGGAGACAGTTGGGGAAGGCGGCTGGTGCGGTGGATCGGTGAGTCCCTCTGTCACTGGAGAGGCAAACCCAAGTCGACAAACTTACTCACCGAGTGAAATCCACGTGCATCAAACCAGCCATCTAATTGTATGCCTGGCCCACGGAGAGAGGTGAAGTTTTGACAGCTTCACCTTCACTAAACGAATCCACAAAAGGAAAAAAAGTTAATTATTAGAAACAGAAGAGGCTGGCTCCTTGTCCTGAGCCATTTAGACTTCACTGCATCCTGTTCATGGCTTAGTGGGTTTGGCCTGTGTGAATGAAGCCTTTTGTCTCCCTCTTTTTCCTTCCGTGCCCCTTTCCTCTTTCCTGTTACCCACAGAGCTTGAGGAAAAATACTTTGGTTTTTAAAGTCTTTTCTTTTTAAAAGGCTGTGGATTGGGGTGGGAGGGAGGGTGTGTATGTGATGCTGGTGAATACTTTTTTTTTCTTTCTTTTATCTCTTTCTCCAGAGAGGAGTTGCTTAAACCAATGGGACTGAAACCCGATGGGACAATAACGCCTTTGGAGGAAGCGCTCAGCCAGTACTCTGTCATCGAGGAGACCAGCTCCGACACCGACTAAAGCGTCACCTGCTCAACTCAATATTGCTTTTATCGGCATCTTTTCTCTGTAGCTCCAGGGGAATCTTTTCTCTCAAACATTTATGCCCTTGCTTTGGCTAGAAACACATTAACTGGTTTACTCATCGAGAATCCAGCGTATCTAAGAGGTGATCCTGTGTTTTTGCGATACTGAGGCATCCGTGCAGAGCTGCAGTTAAATGAAGGTGCAGGGGCTGGCAGCAGGAAGCAACGCCGTTTCATCGGGACAGAACTGAAGGACTCCATTCTGTAACGCAGCCCTGGCTGAATCTGGCAGGTCCGTTTGCCAAGATTCCTAGCAGAAGATTTAGCCGCGTCCTTCCTCTCACTTGGGCAACTGCCCCACCTGAATCTCTCCAGCAGACGCAGGCACATGGGAAGCAGAACGAGCTGCTAAATAAGGGCTGAGGCAAGTGACTTGTTAGATCAGACTGACTACATGGAAGCCAAGCAGCTGCTCCATAACCCTAGCCCACTCTTCGTTTCAATTTTGTATAAATCTATAGAAATGCGCGCGCGCGCACACACACACACACACACAGCCCCGGACTTGCAAACTGACTGCACTAAAAGTTTGTATGTCGCTTACCTAGAACTTCAGAATACATCTCTCCCTATAAAGAGTTATAAATGATGGTTTAGTTCTGAGGCAGCTACAAATGCCTATTTATTCCCTCACGTACCTGAACACTAGTACCATAGAACTGAACCCCCATCTGTATCCTTGCATGGGGAGCATGCATTCTGAGGTCTAACTTGGGGTGCCAGGAATCTGGTCCTCCAGCCCCACAGAGGGAATGGGGACTCCTGGGTATGGAGCTCTTCTGTGGCCTCTGCTGGGGCTGGGGGGTCAGC